GTGTAAAATTATTATCCGTTGACCTTTCGAATGAGGCACATTTAAAACACAATTTGAAATGATTTTGGAGGCTTTCACGGTCGGAGTCAACATCTAATCGTTTCCCGGGTTGAGAACGTGTCAACTGAATTTTTGGGCTCGACGTTTCCCACACTTTCGTAAGTGGCATCTTCAGGTTCAGGTTTGAGAAGATTAGGAGGAAGTCTAAAAAGCATGGGTAACTCATGGGGGCAAAGAATGAAGTTGTGACCTCTTTATAGAGACGTGGTGGGGGAAAACGTAGTGCTTGAAGTTAATTGGACGGCTCCGGATGGAGTGGGGGGAGATAAACGAGTAATTGCATCTAGTGTGGGCTTCCAAATATTTGATATAGTATTAATTAATGCCAGTATAAGGGGATTTATGGAATTCAATAGCTTCACGGATTTTCCGGTCATAGAAATGTGGGACTTTAGACAGGACTTTGGAGTTTTCATACAGAATGGTGTGACCGGTTTCATGTTGGTGTTCTTCTGTCCCACTCTGCTGCAGATGTTGTCAACAAATCCTTTTTTTTTGACACGTCATGCAAATCGTACCATGTTTCATAGAGAAAAATAATTCTTCTATCCTCTTCCCTGAATTTTACTGCTTCACGAAGGTACTTATACGGTCATTCCATTATTGCTTTTGATTTTTTCAACACATGCCTATTTTATTCAATTTTTCTTAGAAATGTTCGAATTGTTTCAAGGCAACACTGCAATCCAATAAACTCTTCTCTCTCTTAAATGATTTTTCTTACAGTATGCGCATGTTCTTCTACTTTCAGTTTTTGAGAGACTCCCTTATCCACTCTTTCCTTTCTCATTGCAAAACCCGATTTCACAATGCGCCCTACAGATGTGTAGGGAACTTTCGTATATTCGGTTGTTATTTAAATTAATTATAGCACCCCCGTTGTTAACTTCGAAATTCTTTTCATGATTATCCACTGCCCCATATTCAAAATCTACTGGTACGTCGTTTTCGAAATTAATTTCTTCATTTTCAACATTTAGACGTCCCATTTCTTCAGCACTTACTTCATTCCATGGTCTCCACATGTCTACTTATTTTCACCACCTTTGACTGATCCCAGTTAAATATTCCTATCAACTGAAAGCTACCGAGGTACTACTTAGCAACGATCTTTTATTTGCAAATCTAGGGTGATTAGTAAGGGTCGTTTGTATAATTTTCAGAACAACAAACAAAGTTAAATTCTTATTTAAACGTTTATCAATAAGTATTTAATCTTTCTAACGAAAAAGGAGATTGCTCGGGGCTCGATACTTTTATGGGCATTAAGCTCAATACCCGCAGTTGAAGGTTGACCAGGAATTAATGACACTCTTAAAGTGATTCTGTTCTAACTACAGAGTTTCATTCATGAATTCAATTTCATATCAATTATTTCATATCAAGTACTCGATGTTGAAGGCTACACTCAAAATATTTGCAAATGTAGACATATCAAGGTATAAATTTTAATAAATTTTAATAAGTTATCTTATAGCATGGCTACAATATTATTAAAGCTCAGGTTCATGAAACTTATTATTTCATACCTTGAAAAGACAGACACGAGGTTATAATAAAAACCAGAAGTGAACTGTCCGAGAGCTGTCGGAATCAACACTATATCAGTGATACCTCGACTTATAGCTCCTTTTTTCCTTCCCTTTTCCTCGGCCACAGCAGAGACGATTTTGATTTTTTACAGTAATTCTTTCCTTGTTTAAAATCACTGTACTAATAGCGAGTGTATTATTCCCACAACGTCGAAAAATTCAACCCATTGATTGTTGACGGGTTTAAATGTTTCAATAATTTCATTGTGGTTTTGCGGCTGTTGTAAATCCCAAAATTATTTGTGCTAGATCTTGACGAACAACTTAATATCATAAGGCTATTCGTGCTAATTTTGTTTTTGGATAACATGATCCTAGTATAGTTCGCCGAAAGATATAGTGCGGTTATCCGCTTTACAATGGTAAACGCACTATATCTTACATCATACAGGGTTGCTGAAAAGTATGGAAGCAATTGAATATCACGAGAAGGGTTTATCAGAGCTCAGAAATTTGATACACAAGTAAAAACATTTGAACTCTATCCTCTGAAATGTTATTCAAATTTGCATTAACATTTCTTTTGGAGATACAAGGCGAACTTGATTTTATTTGAAAAAATCATTTTTTTCTGTATTCAGTGATGTAACACATGCCTTTCTTTATTTGAACTAAAAATAAAAGAAAACATTAAAATAATACAATTTAGAAAATGTGAAATTTATTTGGTGTAGGAAATGTTGACTTTATCTACAGTAGTCCTTTACCAATTGTGCGTCGATAGATAAATTAAATAACAGTTAATAATAATAATTGTAAAAACGATACATTTACTGAAATAAAACAAAAAATTTAATATTTATCCAAATTGTATTATTTTAATATTTGGTTTGCCTTTTATTGCAAATAAAGAAAGACATATGTTACATTACTGAATGGAGAAAAAAATGCTTTTTTAAAAAATATTAAATTTAGCCTCTCGTGCTATTGTATCTCCAAAACAAATGTTGATGGAAATTTGAATAATATTTCAGAGGATGCAGTTCAAATACTTTTAGTTTGGTACCAAATTTGAATGAGTTCTGATCCACCGTTCTCGTGATACTCAACTCCTTCCATATTTTTTAGCGACCCTGCATACCATACTTTAACATTGATCGTTTTCAACACGAATACATACCATATAAAGCAATTACCTGATTCCTTTGTCTTTTGGACGGGCTTCGGAAGTAATAAATTGCTAGTCGAGCTAGACCGATAGGCCAGTGTTGATATAGTGATGGATAGCAATTCAAAGAGAAAAACAATTAGAACTTTTAATCAAATGTTCTATTTGAAAAATTTCACACAAAAATATTGGTTTATCAAATTATAAAAAAATCTAAAACATTTGTACTCACTCATACTTAAAACTTGAGCGAGCATTGAGTAGCTCATGATGATGAAATAAATGAAATGGTCGTATTTACAAAGTGTATCTAATATAATTTTGAAAATCTGGGGTGTTTTATTTATAACACAAAAAGTATTAAATATTAAATATACATTTATCTAAAAGCACACCCTGGGATTCAGGTTTCGCTTGTATTCCTGTAATAAGTATTGTTTTACTTACCTACTAATTTAAGTGCAATAGTTGAAGGAAACATTGCTGTGGAATTCTTTTGACAAATATTTTTCAAATATTCTACAAGATGAAAATACCGGTTTTTACTCCCCGAACGTAAGCTAAGAAAATATTGTAATAAGGTTCACTTTCATGTCTTCTAGACGTTGATCTCTTATAAGAGTACGAAAAAATAGACCGTCTGTCTGTCTGCCGTCTATGGCGATTTTTATTAAACAGCTAACCTTTGAAACTACCGAATCGATTTTGTCAAATTTTATATCGTCTATGGTAAAACGCTATTCATAACTTGTCTGATCATCCCTACCAACATTGTAATGATGTCAACTCACTATGTTACATAGTATGTTATTTAAATTTTATAAAATAACATAATTCTACATGGGTGATAACTTTGAAACTGCAAACTCGGATGCTCTGATGTCTTGCAAACGTTTTATAATTATCGTTATAAGCTTGGTAAAAATTTATGGATTTATCCTACTTTCCCCTTCTAAAAAGTGAGTCCCAAAATTTACCGAAAAAATCTTTTCTAAAATAGACAAAATATACTTATAATAATAATAGGATATTTATCCAATGGACAAGTTGTCCATAATAGGATACAAAAATTGCATAAATATTTATATACAATTATAATCAGGTAAATATAGTATAACAGATAAATACTGACTAATTTGTACAATCACTAGTAAACTGCTTTCAAATATATCGACTTTGTTGCAGGTTTCATTAAACGAAGAACACATATAATTTACTCTAGAATAGGTATACATAATACATATTAGTTCTGGAAATATAAAATGTGCCCGGATTTCTTAATTTCAGACCACGAATATGAAAAGATATTTTGCTTAATCAAATTTTATAATTTTTCGAAAAAACTAAATACGTTGTACTGCGGAGGAACGAGGGATGTTCTGTCTAAACAACCTTAGACTAAGACCCGATTTATAGAAAGTGAAGTTAAAGTTAATTCGCGATTAACTTTTAACTGAGGTCCGTTGCGAGGCAACGCGCATATTTTAACCAATCACTGGCTCATATTCCACATTTTAATTCTCTGTTAAACTAATCGAGGATTAAATATTTAACTCGCTGTTCTATAAACCGGCCCTTAGTTTCTTAAAATTTAGAATGTGCTTTATAATTATCATGCAGATGATGAAACGTTAATCAAAGTTTGTTTACCAGTTTCGTAGATAAATTGAAGCCGTTATCCCTAAGTAAGTACATATTATTAAATAATTAGAAATAGAAATGTTTGTACTGCTATCAATTACAGTTATTTTACAATGCGCGTCACAAATATACAAGACATACGCATATAGTACTTGACTAGATAAAATATAAAAGACAAAATACGTGTTACGTATTCACAAACTACATTTAAATTAAACGGCTCGAAGGAGTAGAAACCTGTTTCTAACATCAGTTTCTTCAGCTGATACTTAGAACCTTCCAACGTTCTGACGCCATCAAGCAATTTAGTGTATAATTGGAATCAAGATCAAGTTTGTGTCGACGCTATATGTTCATATATGTTACACCGTTTTTGTGTTTGTGCGGACCCTCTTCGACGATTATTTCCCTAGTGGAATCACTTCTGCACGTTTCCCTACGATGAATACTTTCCCAGCATCAGGTGACTTTCCTTATATCTGGTTTCCATATGACATCACTCTGTAGAAGTTGGCAAAGTATACGATTTTTACTGTTTGGTGTGTGCCTGCTTTCTTGATTCTTCTTAAACAGAAAGTGCTTTATACAATTTCTTACAGATATCTTCTGTGTGTAATGACCAGTTCAGTTTTGGATCTAACCATACTCCTAGGAACTTAACTCCACCTTGCTCTACTTCCCTTCTAAAAGTGAGTTTTTCTGATTTTTCTTCATTGATCTTGAGTTTATTACTTGTAAAACATTGCTCTATCTGTTTTACTGTAACTTGAATTTTGTGATTCAGCTCCTCTCCATTTTTGCTTTCAGTATGACTGAGGTATCGTCACAATGCAGACAAACGGAGCCTTTTTTTATGTCGATGTCGATGTGGTTTATATAGATTACCATGATGGAAATCTGAAATCCGTTTCACCTCGACTTTCCCAAAAAACAATTTGATATTTTTCGAGACAATGAGATTTCAAAAGCGTTAAAAAAGGCCTTTTAAACCCAAAAAATAGTAGGGGTATATTGTTTTATTAGGAGCAAAAGTGTTACTTTTCGCAGCGAGTTCTGTAAGTTTGCAATACAGACGAGGCACGAAAAGGCACTTTTACCCCGAATGAAACATACTACTAATATTTTTTCTTCAAACGTTTCAATCAACTTAAAATGTAACACATTTCTTTTTACATAACCTCACTATCCCCGGTATCATTACATCATACCACCACACAACCCGATAATCAGGAACTACATACCATGAACACTGTTTGCAATCAATTCCAGTACCAAGTGCGCGTAATAATCTCGATATATTGATAGCAGAAACAAAGGCGGCAGAAAAAGTTACTTTTTATGACGGCGTCAGAAAATACGTATTTTACTACATATTTTTCTGACGTTTGAAGAAAAATGTAGTTTTTTCAAGAGAATGTCATGTGATAGACTATTGTACAACTTTACTCAGGTCGAAATTGAGTACTGCAACCGTCTAATGCAACTGTGATTTGTGCTAATGCTGTTTTATTCTATTCTTGATGGCGGTTTAAAAAATTTTTGAAATAGCTGGCAGGAGAGATATGAGTTTGTAGATTTGAGTTTATAGATGTTTATAGATGTACTTGTCTGACTTTGGCGATCTTCATTTCTTCTAGAAAATATATCTTTTTAAAGCTCTTGTTTATGATGGGTTAGACAATTATTCCATCCACATTTTTACTTCCCGAGCATAAGCTAAAGAAGCATTGTAATTGGTCAACAAGTTTTTTGGATGTTTTATGACGCCTAGAGTACGACAAAGGAGGTCTTGGATTTCCATATGTCTGTCTATCGTCTGTCTGTACCTGTGTGGACTTTTATTAAATAGATAATCTCTGGAAGATTATCAAATTTTATATGTACGTCTCTTAGGAATATCATGTAGATGGTAAAACGCGAAATTTTATGAAATAACATACTTGTGGTTTATAAATCCGCCTTTAATTTTTACACTGGGCATCCAAATTTTCGCAAACAAAACATCGGAATTGTATAAAGTTCTTTTATACAAGTACAAACCACACAGTAATCCTATCTCAATAAGATAGAGGCCATCAAAAAAACAATAAAATTTAATAATTCGTTCTGATTTTTAATTACCTGCCAAACTGCTTTAGGTTTGTTGTCCGTCTTTTGAGTTTCATGTTTTCTCGACTTTTCATGACCCATAGAGCAAAAAAAAGGTCTCCGTTTCCGTCTGTCTGTCTATCTGTGTCGATTTTTATTAGACAGATAATCTCCGAAACCACTGGATTGAGTGTTGTCAAATTTCAAATGTATATTAGAAATACTATGTAGATGGTAAAAATTAGCCCAAATTACGTTAATCATCCCCACCAACAATTTGATGACGTCTTTTTAAATAATTCAATTTTTGCAAAAATTATCACACTATATTAACACTAACTCAGGACTAACTTCAGGCTAGGATGTCAGTATTCGGACCGGCGGTCGCACGTTCGATGCCAAACTTGCCAGTTTCTTTTTTCTCTCTTGCGCTGTGACTAGTATTACCTATATTGAATCATTTATTGATCAAATTACGAAGAAGTTATTCCATTTCATCGAAAATGTGAGAATATGCACGTCTTTGTTTAATATTGATAATATAAGAATCATAATAACAATATTCGAAACATTTTGTTTGATTTTGGCTTCATTAATAGTAATTTTAGTCCTCTGTTTTGAGGAGAAAAACAAGTTCAAATCTAACAAATTTCTAAGTGAAATTTTTTATGATGTAAGCCATTGTTAGTTTCAAACTACTATTTTAAGAAAACAATATTGTTTCAAAGAGAGTTATGAGAGGTAAGGAAATAATAATAAGTGGGACAATTCTTCTTGTTTTGATGAGTTGCTGAAAAGGCAAATCAGATATAGCGAATTAATTCACAATTTTTCTTGAATACGTAAGAGCATAAATTTTCAGATAACGTAAACCCACACTTAATCAAAACTTTACTTTTAGTTAGCTGGGTTTTCACTGGTTTATTTAATTTCACAAACCGAATGCCGCCCTATTCGGCTTTCATATGCAGCCCTTACAATTTCAGCAGCAGCCAACGCGTAATATACACACCAGCGTGAGCAGTATTGTTTGTTGATGCATTTAACATCCCACCCAAATCTGAAAGCCTTATTATACCAAATGCAATCTTTGGAAGGAGAGCTAAGCTGCTTACGTCAGAAGGCTTTCACAACACGATCTTTACCGCACCCTTTCGCACCCATTCGTTTTTGATAATCTACAAAATCAGAGGTTTTCAGTTTACTGATGTGTTTTTAGTAGCTACAGTTGATTTTATAGCATCGTATAAGCAAATTTATGTTGGAAAGAACTTAATTCGACCAATCTGAAATCAATAAAGTTTATTAACCATTGCTCTATATTTCAACCAAAATCCCCCTTAAAACGGTTCATTAATTTTGTGCTTCCCTAAAAAAATAAACCGTTAGAATCGATTGCAAATATTGACTTTAACGTTTCAGTTGCAGGGATAATTAGTAATGATGATATGGAGTTTGCAGCTGCTATTTATTAGTTTAGTAGCTTTTAATGTACTAACTTGTTCTGCGTATTTAGGTATTAAAGTTGGCGTCCCATATAATATGATCTTTATTGTTTTCAGTTAGAACCTGCAATTTAGTTATTTACTGCAATAACTAATTTCAAATCAGAATTATTGTAGGTACTTGGAAGTTCTGAAATTTAATTAACGCACCCTGCATATCAAGTTTGAATTCTCTACCTGTCGACAGTTTCTGCTATAAAAGTATTTTAATATTTTATAATTAAAGCCATGACTGTTTCATGGAAATGGAGGTTCGTAATTCTTAATGTTCACTTTGTTCCAGACTAAATTTAATTCATTGGAGGTTTTGTCGCTTTACTAAATGACATCCAGTCTAGTTAAACCAAATGGAAGTGTTTCCTCGCTGAGTTAAACGATGCCGAAGGAACTCGTTTCGAAACGCACAGGTCGAATTTAACATATCGGCCCCAAATAAATAAAGTCTTTATGTCGTCCACCGGCCTTTTCGTGAAAATTTCTTTTTAATTAAATCCTTTTACTGCCCCCATTTCAAGTACGAGTATGTAAATTAGCGACAAATTGCAACCCCATCAGGGATTCCGGTAAATTATAATAGCCAGTCATGATCGTAAAAGCTCACAATTATCACGATAAAATTTAATAACTTGGCCCTGCACTGGGTAAGGTTCCCCATTGATGGCGCAGCAGCACAACGTGCCATTAGTTAATAAAAACGAACCGCTCCACCGAGTGTAAACGTGTATATTTTCATCCGATGTGTATTCACTCCAACCGGAACTTCTGCAGCACGGAAATGCTACTTAGTTAATGTAAGTTTTTATCCAACGTAATTACCACTGAGCTTTCAAACTAAAATGAAGATGGACTCGAAACTCCAAATTCTGAAACTCAAAGTGTTCAGATGTTAGCCTTTTTATTATGTCATCTGCAGCATTTCTGCGTCGCGCCACGGTTTATTTCTTTAAAGAAAAATCTGTCTCCGTGCATACCAATAATACTTGGAGCACAAACGCGTTCCTGCGGTTAAAAGCTGCTTTGTTTTGTCCCTAAAGCATTATTAAACCGTAAAAAAAGTAACTATAAAAAATATTTGCGGAGGGGATTCTGGAATCTGCTAGCATTTTTTTATGACCACGAAAGTTGAAAGAAAGCATTTCTATAAAAGAATAAAATTGAAATATCGCCACATTCAGCTCTTGGATAAAGAAGAATAATTTTGCTGGCAGTGACGTAAGTACGTTCACAGAATGTTTTTTTTTCTGTAGACATCGTTATAAAATAACGTGAACAGTGAAATAAGAGAACGATACGCAAAGAACCCAATTAGTTTTCAACGTTGTTAGTTATATTCCACCTACATATACTTACTGATTTACTTACGCCTAAAATAAAAAAAAATATGTGTTTTCCCCGATTACATCTATTTTATGTAGGTTAAGGTACAGCACATTCACTTTTCTGTTGTGAAGCTGAAAGCAGAAACCCTTATTTTCCGGGAAACGAATAGGGAATTGAAAACATGTGTTACCACATAACTCGTGATTGAGATACAATAAAAGATTGGTAAATCAAAATAAACAGTTTAATTTAATTAAAAACCTATGTGAAAACAATATTAGAAAATCTTCTTTTTTAATCTAGTCGGCTGTATTTGCTATAATTAGATACTTATACAGGGTTTTTATAAATGATTCTAAGGGCGTAGTTAGCCATGGATTTCAAAAATCCCTTTTCACATGAAATTATGCCTCATCAGTTCTCACTTGTCAAATGTCATTAATGTTATTGGTAACCTGGCATTTAGAGTCATCATTTTTATTGTTTTAATCTGAGAGACGGCACGTTTTCATGACTTACTTCGACCCTATAATCATTTATAGAAACCCTGTATACTATATAGATTTTTAATCTCCTTGAAAAATATTAGTATTATTATTATTATTATGATTAAAGGGTAATTTAATGCTGTCTATATACAATAAAATAAGCAAAAAAATGAATAATAATACATACTTAAGTAACAAAATGAAGTATACAAACAGAAAATTATACTAGTAAAGTACTTACTAAGACTTTCCAGGAGTTGAAAATTCTATTCGTACGGAAGAATTGAT